TGTGGGGCTGTAAGGATTAGGGATGCCTTGAGGGAGCAATTTGAGGCTGAAAACCAGCAGTGATATCTGGTGCCCTGCATGGGAGTGAAGTGCAGTAGTTCCAATCTTTAGGAATCAGTGTCTGCTAAGCAGACAAGCAGACTTGCAGTGCCTTTTTATTTCCTGAACTAAGGAGTCTTTTACTTTATGCAATAATAAAGAATGTTTTCAAAGCCAAATAATCCATTTATTGTAAAGAAAAACAAATTTATTGAAAAGAAACAAGGGGGTGGAGTGGGGAATGGTACCATCACAGATTCGCGTATGTCCTGTCTGGTGTGCTGTGCAGTGAGTGCTGCATTTCAGGACAGCTATACTGCATAGTGATGGGGGTTGAGTGCAGAGGGTAAGGGTCGTGGTTTTCAGGGCTGGGTGGTGAAGATACTGGTGTTGGAGGCAGCGGGTGGTGTGAAGAACACGGAAGTTGGGGAAAGTGGGTTGGAGGTGACAGTGGGGCACAACGGAAAGAGTTTTGGGACAAGGGCTGTGGCGGGGGTGGCGTTTGCGGTACTGCTCCTCTTTCTGCATGGCTACGAGCTCCTGGATAGCGTCTGCTTGGCGCTCCAGGATGCTTATGAGCCGATCCGTGCTTTGCTGCTGGTGCTCCGTGCTTTGCCGCCAGTGTGCTGCGTTTTCCTGGCAGATCCTGCTTACTCTCTCCCTCCAGTTCTGTGCTTTCTCATTCTCTTTAATAGATTGCCGCATCACTTCTTGCAGCATGTCTTCTTTTCTCTTTCGCGGTCTCTTCCTGAGTCTTTGCAGCCTCTGAGCAGGCGATAAGAGGGATGGCTGAGGTCTCAAGGTTGATGCAGCTGTATAGGCAAAATGCAACATTTAACAGAGGCAGCATTGTTTATACCAGACAGAGTAATGATTCCCCCTGCACTTAAGGAGTAGAAAACACACAGGGTCTACACAATAGCATAATTTTCCCATCCGAAACAGAGAACACATATCCCACGGGAGCCTTAAAATGGTGAGTAAGGGGGACTGATTGTTTCAGGGCTGCACTGTCCTCTGGGTTTCTGTGCCTTGGGGAGAGCCAACAGCTTCAGGGGGCACCTACACTGAACACTGTCCCAACATTTTCCACAGGAGTTCGTCCTGGACGATATCTTGCTGCTGAGGGTGACCTGGGAAGCAAGGGAGGGTCTTCTACTGCAATGCGGCTTCTGCCCTGACCCATATGCAGCTTGCCTGTGTGCAGCAATGGTCCCCTCGCGGCACAGTGGTGCGGACACGTTAGCCTGGCTGGGACAAGGACCACGGTGGCACTCCCGGTAAACTGCGCAAGCGCATTGCACACGTTCTGGATGAGACATTCGAGGAGATTACCCAGGCCGATTGCCGCGATGTGAACAGATAGAACAGGCATTGTGGGATACTGCTAAA